AGAGATACAAATCACACAAGGGGTGCGTCCAAGGTCTTATTGTCTATAGTAAGCTATTTGTGCGCAAAACATTTGTCACCAGCGATTTCCTCACAAATACTGAGTTGTATAGCCTATAATCAATTTTCTAGAGCAACATGGTTGTATATAAACTGTATACTATAATACAGCGCAACGATTACAACCCATAGTGCAGTTGTATATATTAGATTGTGCATCTTTGTTAGAGCTGCGCAAAAGATGCAGCCTGAACATGACGTGAGGAGGCAACGACAAATTAAAGGCTTGTAAACAGTGGTGATATTTCAGAAGGTGTCACAATTATAAAATATTCTACTATCAGGCTGTCATTCAGGCCTCATTCCTTTTTTTCTGAATAAATTAAAAATAAAAATAGACACTTCTGAACTCGGCTCTGCGTTTTTAATAGCTTGCAGCTGATGTGGTCACATGAGTGGATGTTCAATAGCTGAAACTTTTGAGAAAGACTTCAGAGTGCGCAGTGCCGTGAATCAGCCATAGAGGACACACCTACCCTCTTTTCAATGATCACCAATCACCCGCGTCCCGGAGCAGCTGCTACAAGTCGCCACCACACAGACACAGTATGGAAAGACCGAGACAGAAGCAGGCGCGTTCTGTCTTAACGGAGTGAGCCGTCCTGCTTAGTGCGCAGTGACAGGAGATTTAAAAAAAGAAAAACAGAGTACAGATACAACGTTTTGTGAGACGAGTATCTCCAAGCGCGGTTTTCTTTTTCACCGAACGTCATCCTTGCCCATGGGTTCAAGTTGCACATAGGAGTAGGCTACAAGTTTCCAATGGACAGGCACTTGGAGGCGGCTGGCGCAACAAGCATGGGATTACTTCTGTAATGTGGATCGCTATTCAGAACAATGTGAGACGTTATGCGTCTTGGATTCTCGTGTTTCTGGATATCTTGAAAATCATTGGCAACAGTTGAAAAGGAAGAAGTTATGCGCAAAGGATTGTATGCTCCGACGCCGGGACCAACATGGATCTGCCATTACAACCCCTGCCCTTATTTAGAGAAGTTTTAGCCAGTCCACTTGTGTTGTTGTACTTGTTGTTGTTTGAGAACACATCGCCACATTGGCCTCGGATTTTAAAACGTCGCCTGCATTTGGATTGGATTTCAAACATCATGAACTTTATTGACAGTTTGACACTATTTTTGACGCTGTCAGCTGTCAAGGTGAGTCCTGTGTTCCCAGAGAGCAAACTGGACAAAAAAGAAAGAAAGAACACCAATCGACCTTTATCTGCGAAATGTAGCCACTGGTAATTAATGTGTAGCTCGTCCTTGCCTATCCTCTGGCTAGGTCATCACTCGTGTTTAAACAAGCTGAAATGTTTAGTGGCTTGGGAAGATTTAAACAGCCATTACGCAAAGGCGACTCTATATAAACCTAACCCACACAGTCGTGGGTGGTGCGCTTTTTTGTTGTAAATGCGGTATATGTGATGATTTGTTAATAATGTTATGAAGTTTGACGCTGGTTGATTTCAGGCCTGCTCTAAAACCACCTTGGAGATATTATTACGCTTTAAAGGCGCAGGCTCTATTCTCAATATAGGACATGTGAGCAGGTTCACTCCCGGCACTGAGACGACTCCTAGCCATCTTCAATAAGAAGAAATAGGCTTCTACTGTTAACGCTGAAACTTAGCTCCAAGTTTCAGAATAAAACAAGCATTACTTCATAGATGAATCAGGCGGTCTTGGGAATTTTAATGGCCGTTTCTGAGCGCACTGTAAATCGTTTTCTATATAATCATTAATCAAGTGTAGTGTGCCCAGGGAGGCTTTGAGCAAAGGTTTCAAGGTGAAAAAAAAAGAACGCGACACACTACTAGGAGGATGCATTTTTTTCCAGCCACATGATTGGATTTTGAAGGGTAGTTTCTAACATGAGTTTGCCACCTCAAAGGAAGCAAGGATGTTTGAGGTTGCAACCTAGTTCCCCCTCGACCATCTCACCCCAAGTTAATTAAATATTCCCCTCTGGAGTCCCATAACGTGTTATTTAACTAAGTGGTTCATTTCATGACAGCTTGACCTCCCAATCAACGCTGAACATGATCAGAACGCTGTCTCAGCTGCTCATTATCAGTCGGCCTATCATCACTCGGTTTAGGTGCCGGTGTTCGCAGCTTGACACCCATCCATTAAAAAAACAGTATATAGTGTTTTGGAGGGCTGGGGTCTCTCAGCCCACAAGGTTGGACCCTCTCACGCCACCAGAAAGGGGGCGGAGACTGCTGCACCCACACAACCAGACCCCCGTTTTTTTTTTACTTTTCTTTAAGGAATGGAAATACACTGAACACAAGCTATAAGCTACATTACTGGATCTCACGCAATATAGGCGAGATATTGCGCGAGTTGCGCGCGCCCGTATGCGAGTAAAGAGCGAGAAGAGGGTGCGCGGTTGTGCGCGTGTGCGAAGGCGAGAGAAAGTTGTGCGTAATGCGCGCACCGATGGAAAGTTTCCAATAATCCTTTGTGGTCTGACTGGTGTGGCAGCAACCCCCATTGAGAGGAAACTGCGAGCTTCTAGTTCTCGCCGGTTTTAATGGCAACAATTATTAATCCGCGATGGCAGCGTAGGCACACATTAAAGAGCTGGTGACCGAATCAAAACCAACACGGTGAAGTTTTGTCACGTAGCTGACGTGGTAGATTTAAAGTTAGCTTGTTTGGCACATTGTAGCTCTAAAATATTTGGCAATAAAAAGGCTTTACACACCACGTGGAACAGGGTATACGATCATAAATACAACTTCATTAAGGAAGTGACTTCATTAAATGTTGATACATATTTTAATAACTGAACTGGAATTACTTTAAAATGTGACATTTCATGAACATATTCTCAGATGTGATATAGGATAAGAATCATGCTTTTAAAACCAGTATTAATGTTACTTTTTTCAATGCATATATAAGACATAGGATGAACATTTGACTCAGTTGTTTGTATATTGTTTACAGGCTAGACCGAGATAAGCTACATATTGTGGTTTTCATATTGTGTCAGTAGAAATGTCAAAATGTAAATATATTTTTTGTGCAACTGCGGATAAGTAAAGGGCATAGGCAATGTTTTTTCCCGTGCTCTTGCACAATTTACTGTAACTAACAGCTCACTTTTTCTTTCTCCTTGCAGAGTGCCCACATACCGAAGGCAACAGAAAGAGGTCCACATAACGGTAGGTGTCCCACAGGGTACCGTGGGAATACAGTATGCACTGGGCTCCCTGGCTGGAACACAGCCAAATAAAAGGGCTCGTTTTGACATTAAAGGGAAATGGTCGCCTCCTGGTGGACAGCTGCATAGTTTGAGCCTGTCCAGATGTATCCCCCTCCAAAACTCCCTTAAAGTAAATGAGAGCAGTTTCACCCCTAAATCGCAACACTTGGACCTTCTCATCCTGTACAGCATTCCTTTTTGTTTGAGGTTAAGCTGGGGAAATGTTATGGTGACCAGAGTCTTTTATAGAATGGAATTTCACCCTCTTGGCCCACAATTTCATTTTGCACAATCCCAGCGTTGCCCAATGTAATTTGGACAATCAGAAGCTGAACTTTCATGATACTGTTCAGGCCCAGTGTATTTGGTTTTGCTTCCCAGAGGGCTTTCAGGCTGGGGTTGTTTTAGGTTCTGAGTGATATTTTGGAAGTGTTGCCTGCCTCTGTGCTCACATCTTTCTCAAGAGCAGAACTCCTGCAAAGACTGACAGAGAGAGGGGGAAATAGACTGAAGGTGAAAAAGCAGACTATTGGCTATTATTGTACAGCTGTTGGTGAACTGAATCACAATGGGGCAGGGAAATGGGCTGACTCAAGTCCTGCAGTTATTTGATGCAGCTGATGGGGTTAAATTAGATTTGATTAGATTAAATGACTTGTTAACTGCAATGAAAAAATGCATAAGTGTGTAAAAGCCGTTAAATCATTACTTGTATAAAACAAGTGCTTCTCAATTGAATAACAGAAGGTAAAATGTGTGCGTGCATGTATATGTGTTTTTATCTCTTTCACTGTGACTCCCTTGTAAGCCTGCCAGCGTTTACTAATTCCCGTCTCCTTTTAGGTGTGTGTTATTGTTACAGCCCTGTAGTATCCAAGAGTCAATGGTTTAGATTAGAGCCCACTGCCATTTTATAACCCCTGTTACTTTGTCTCCCAGTGATCCCTTTAATGGAGGTGTACAACAAGAGTTTGTGTCAGCCTCGGGAGCTGCTGGTGGAGATACTACAAGAGTATCCGGAGGAGGTGGAGCACATCTTCATCCCGTCCTGCGTGGTGTTGATGCGCTGCGCCGGTTGCTGCAACGATGAGATGCTGCAGTGCATGCCCACATCCAGCTATAACATTACAATGGAGGTTAGTTGCATTTACAAGAGTAATACTTTGGGTGTTTTGTGCAATGGGATTGACAAGGGTGGGAGTGACGGCTGCTTTTTTTGCTTTTTCGTCTAAAATGACATATGAACTATTTTTAAACCTCATCATTCAGGATATGTCTGTGCCAAAAGTGGACAGTTTAGTGTGTATTTTTGCCCAAATGTCACACCAGTAAGTAAGTTGGCCCCGAGCCCTCCAAGTGCCCTTCCTGTCAATCCAGTGCCCTTGCTGTTTGCTCAGTGGCTGCTCAGGTGTGACCTTTGGGCAAAAATCAACCTTACCACTTTTAAAAATTTTCACCCCTGCTCCTTTGAGAGTCTGACAACACTACTGGTTCTCTGTGTGTGTGAGGAGTCAGTCTGTCTTCTTGATGAGAGTTTGAAGGGGCAGAAATCTTTTTTTGTTTTTTTGTTTTTTTTACTTTGCATGGTTCATGGTTTCTCTCCCTTTTTATAGTCAGTAGTCAGGTTTCCTTACAGATGTAATGACTTCAAGTTTCCATCCACTACTGTTATGCAAATTGTAGGAAATGGGCATATTGAGATAATCAGTTTTAGGTGCTAATTCTCCAGTCAGGTGCCATTAAACCATTGCAGAAGAAGAGCATGCAACAAGATGATATCATTAAAAGAGTTGTTTCATGAATTAATTTGAGAAACCTTATTTTTTTATGCGAAACCTAATCACTTCCACTTCATACGTGTAGATCCTCTTTCTATTGGGTTGAATTTTTTACTTCTGAATTTACATTCCTCTGTCCGCAGTGACCTTTCTGTGTGAGCTTGTGTTGATCCTTGTCCATTTGCCTTTGACTGTCTATTTTTGAATGCTGTGACACTGAGAAACAAGATTATTAGGAATCAGTGGACATTTCCTTCAAATCTGTGACAATTTCTCTTTCCTCTATTTTTTTCTCTCTCCACAGATTAAAAGAATAAAACTCCTAAAGCAACAAAGTGATATTTTCATGAGTTTTACAGAACACAGCGCATGTGAGTGTAGGTAAGAAACCCTGAACACACACTGCAACACACACAATGTAAATGAACTACTAACCACTGTGCATTCGTGTAGCAGACCAAACACCTCATGCAAAGTTATCGTTTTCTGACACATTTAACAGATGCATATCAGGTAGATTCAAACCTTATCTTTGTGTCTTTGACTTCACTGATCTTAAGATCTTAAGACCTGGGCAGGTTTAAGTACATCCCAGCAGACATCTTCCCTATTGCTTTAGTTTATCTTCTTTCCATCACAAGTTAAGTTGAGTACAGCGCTATAATCCTTTGTTTTGCTTCTGTAGTATGTAGCCTATAGGTCCTGGAACCACATTGCTTTAGTTATTGATCTCTTAGATAAGTACTGTGTGTCCTTTTGTGGCCTCTAGTCACAGTAGGGTGACTTCCTCTGGTTAGACATGAGGTACAGTGAGTTATTATCACTGATTTATACATTTCATGGGTCAGTTTGTTACTCTGTCTTCTGTTTTGATAGGCGACTAATGTAATCCTGATGTCAGAGATAAGTGTTAACTAGTGCAACTACACATGGATTGAATTAATCTTTTCTTCTTGTGCTAGAGTAAAAAACGAGTAAAAATTTAATCTTCATCTTCTACAAATGATCGCGCCACTATCCCAGCCAATCATTAACAAATAAGCCACCTTCCTTTGCTCTTGGGCCTTTGTTGAAAGGTGCAGTGACATGATGCATCACTTCCTGATGTTTTGTCAATATCAGATAATCATGGTGGGTGAAATTTGAGCCGTGTGACGTGAATTAATACACGGCAACACAGAGGGGACATGCATCATTCTCCCATTTTTGAGGGAAATCTAAATATCAAACATTGTATGGAGTACTACTGGCAGAGACCAAGCTCTGTTGTCATTTCATACTGAGCTATCAAATCTGAACGCTCTCTGTAATTACACAATACTTCACTTTAAAAACCACCAGATGTTGTTGTGTTAATCTATTTAACACTTTGTTACATTTTTTGACCTCGCTATGCTGTTCAGGTAGTGGTTTACAGGCTGTTCAACAAGTCACTGCCAAAACTATTTCCAAATAGTCAATAAAACAAATAGTAGACTTATAACCAGTAGTGTAACGTATATTAACACAAGTGTTACAAGATTTTGAGGTTATTTCCATTTCATGCTAGTACTGCAATTAGCAGTAACTTAATACAGCTCTGATACAGCTGCAGGAGAGTGAACAGCAAACAGCGAGTCTGATATCAATGAGATAAAATTACAAACAGTAACGCTGGACTACATGCTGCATCGTTTCCTGGGAATGGCGGACTCCGCCACTAACAATGAAAATGACTATATGCTAATAAAAACGGGGTTTGATGTCATGGAAATTGTATCCATCTACATTTAAGTGCTGCTTGCAGTAACAATAATCAAATCCAACGTTCTTTTAAGGGTCATTCTGCTTTTACCTTAAGTATAATTTAATTCAGTACTTTTGCTTGCAATTGAGTAGCCTGACATTGTGATCTTGCTACTTTTACTTAAGTAAAGGGTGATCTTCAGTAATACATTCAACCAATAGGTCTCAGTCATTTTCAGATAAAACATACATAATAATAAATAAATATACACAAATACCTTCATGCTTTCTTCAGTAATTTATGTGGAGTTATTGTACCAGTCTCAAATAGGATCTTTGCCATGTATCTGTGACCTTTTTAAATGAAACCTTTCCTTACCCATTTGGCTAACTCTTTTCCAGCAAATGTATTGCTCCACACTGTGTTATAGGTCCAGCCCCTGTGTGTGCTTGTCTATTGAGTTTGTACACTACACTATTTCACAACAAATCTTGTTCATTTGCTAAGAAAACATTTGAAAGTGAAAGGCAGTTTTATCACAGTTTCTGGTAAAGGAGGCTGACGTAATATGATTTGAAAAGATTGATGGGAGCCCACACATGCTGATAATGAGCCTCTGGCCCTGATATGTATCTGTTTACCAGGAAACAAAAGCGTGCTGTGATCTAATGTCATTTTGTTTTGTTCCTGCCTTCCAGGTTAAAGAAAGAAGTGAAAGAAGTGAATGAAAAGTGAGTACAGAATGCTCTCTGCATGAAGATTGGGGTTTTTCGAGGGAAACAATGGGGACTTGAGATTCGATCTTTTTCCTGTTTTCCTGTGCAAACAAACTCTCTTTCTCAGTCATCGGCAACGCTCTGCCTTCCTGACACTATCCCAAATTCTCTTTCTTACTTAAATGATCTGTCCGTTATTTCCTCACTCTCTGTCTCTCCATTTCCTTTAACTAGACACACTCAAAACACTCCACACTGCAAATACTTCATTAAAACCCCACTATATGAGATTAGCAGGCAGCTCTCAGGTAATAAATACCAGATAAATTCATTCAGGTGAATGAGTGACACTTAGTGAGGTCATTGCCCTTTCTATACTTGTCCTTTACAGCTTTCCTCCCTTTTCTATCTCATCTTTGCATTCCTCTCTTCTCTTCTTTATTGTGTACATCCCACTTCTGTTAATCCTGTTACTGGCTGCTCTGATATAGATAGCAGTGTTTTTGAAGACCTCTTAAATGTTTGTGGCTATGGTCTTTGCTTAAGTGTTCTTCCCTTCCCATGCAACAGAAGTCACTGTGCTAAGGGTCATGAAAGTCCTCTTTAATATATTTCTATTGTAGGGTGGTTGTAATTTTGATTTTATCTCAAGTTGTCTGTCATATAGATAAAGGCTAGTTTTGAGACCTCCTCCTTAACCTTGTCTTAACTGTTTACGAGTCTGGTTTTGGTGGCGTGCGTCTACATAGTGATGGTCTTAGGGTCGTTCAACTCTTGTTTCTGATGCTTTCCATACTGTCATGTTGGTTTTAATGTTAGTTGCTGACCTCTCGTCTTCCAGAGGTCTGTTAGGGTGAGTCATCCTGCTGAGGTTGTGAAACTCAAATCAAATCAATCAAATCAAATGAAGTTCACATACACAATCATACACAGTACAACGTCAAGTGAAGTTCGGTCAGTGGGCAACCACTGTGCAGTGCCAACTCCAGTTCTGTCAGTGCACTGGTCAACGGCACTGACAGGAGAATTCACCTAATATACGTGGTGGGGGAAACCGGATTACCTGGAGGAAACTCACGCAAACGCAGGGAGAACATGCTAATTCCCCACAGAACGTCCACAGTGGACCTGGACCTGATGTGGCCATCAGGTCCATGTCCGAGTCACACGTCATCTTCAACTTCACCTCCATCCTATTCCATGGATATCCTTATTAAATGGCATCATATTTGTCATCCACTCCCAGCTAGGTCTGATCTAGCACCATTTGTGACCTCAGCTATTGGATGGATTGTCATGAAGTTTGGTTGACCTTTCAGCTCCATCTTCAGGACAAAATGTCTTTGGCTTATGACTAAATTTGAAATTAACGACATTCCCATCAGCTTCTGCTTCTGCTAATTTTTGCTTAACGCTAATTAGCAGATGATAGCATGCTAACACGCTAAACTGAGATGGTGAACATCGTAAACATTATACCTGGCACCTCTGTGCCAAGTACAGCCTCACAGAGTCGTTGTTGTATTTTTCCGAGCAGAAAACAGACATCTGTGAGATCAAAATATACCTATAAAGACATAACCTGCTTCTGGATAACAGGTTAAAAAAATTATGTATTGGGTTGCAAAGGGAACATTATGTGACAGAATCATAGGTTAACTTATGGAGTGCTTAGGTCACAAACAAGGCTAGGTCGGACCCTCTGATGTGCTGTGCACATATAATAATTACAAAACATGATATTGAAAAGTTGAATAAGCCTACAGAGTTGACCCAGAAGTTGCAGTTTTGTTGAAGTCCAAGTTCATTGTCCTCAATCCATCTGGGAAATTTCTGAATTCCAGCGACTATTAATCGCTCACACATTCTGCAAAGTCATTGTACTGTTGTACAAAGTTTATCCAAGTTGGACTATAATGTCTTTAAACCTGTACAAATCAGGACACGTTGCGTTGGTTGCTACTGTATTTAAAAAGTAAAATTTTTAGTTCATTTCAACAGTTCATCAAAATGTAAAGGTGCTTAATTTTATCATGCTGCAATCTTTTGAAGGCCATGTCATCCCTCACTGTAAAAAAACAAGGGAAATTTTACATTTTAGTCATATCGCATACATTCACGTGAACACTGCCTGATGCCATTCTCACAATATGATGATTAAAGTTATCATCCCAAACAAGTCAATCACTAACAATAATCAGAGTAAACATTAATCTGTTCTGAATGACTGCTTGGCTCTTTGATTTATGGAAATGAAAAAAGATTGCTATTAATCAGTGTTGGTTTTAGCAATCATCAGTTTAGGGCTTTCTAAACACTTCAGTCTCTCAGACATCTCTCTGCGTTGTTGTCCTGTTTCTCTTGCAGAAAATCCCGGAAAGGCAAGGCTAAAGGCCAAAAGAGAAAACGAAAGAAAAACCGTGACAAAACAATTCACGATGCGTATGTCAGCGCCGCCTTCTCCACCTACCTGAACCTGAGTGTTGCGCTTCTCATAATTAAGCTCATCTGGGAAGAGCTCCTTTGTCCCTTTTAATTTTCACAACTTAATTTGCCCGCTAGCCACATTAATTAGCATGTTGCTTCCGTGTATTGTCCTAACTTTGTGTCGTCAGTCATGCTCTACATACGCTAATATGTAGCACGTGTATTGCTAATGTAGCTTTAGCACAACTTTACATAACAGCGATAACCAGGGAGGTACAGTTCAAGCCATATCCCACCTCACAACAAATGAACCACCACGTCAAAATACCCATCTCATCTCCCCCCCCCCAAACTTACTGTACCTGTTAGCAAGAATATCACTCTATGGTTCCGACTGGGAGGATGTTTGGGATAAGATACAGCAGCGCATCATGAAAAAAAAAAAGAAACTCGAGGTACAAGTTGCTCCTAACATCTTTTTAGATAACTAGTTTATGATTGATAATGGACATGTTTAAAGAAGCTGGACTAAACAGATCTGCCGTTAGCTGTAACTTGAACCTTCTACTGAAACAGATCACAGCTCTACCAGCATGGCTTTGCAGACCGGCTCATACTGTTCTGGTATCTGTGCTGGGATCACCAGGATTGTAATCACGGTCCTGTGTTCAGTGTTGAGTCTGTGCTGCTTTGCTGTGTCTCGTACCCGTCTCCTTTCTACTCTTTGTTCTTTTCATCTTTACAAGCAGGTTTTGCTGTCCCATGCATAATGCTGGTACTTTGTATGCAATGTCAAGATGCGAGTGATGGCTATCTATTGCCTTTGCTTTTTGCTTTGTTTTTTTGGCTATGGGGTATTTGTAAACCAGTAAATTGTTAAGCAAGTGCTGTTTTGTGTCTTTGTGTGCCTGCTTTTGTCTCTGAAACTATACAAAAGCACCCGTATTTTAGTCAAAAATAACACAAAGATGATCTCATGTTTCTTCAGTGCTCATACTGTGAACGAATACATGCCTGTGTGTTCATTTGTAATTTGTATATTGAGATGTCAATGGAATATTTGAGCCTTCATCTGTCCATTTACCCCTCCTTGCTAAGAAATGTCATTCAAACTGTGTCTCTCTGCGGGAAACAGTCTTCAGTTTTCACTCAATAAAATGAAACCTTTCTTAACGGAGCACCAAACAGACCCTCGAGTCTTCTTTATCAAGAGTTGACCATTTGTAAGAGTGAGAGCGAGAGGTGTGCTATCATGTGTCATTTTGTGTTGCATGAAGCAGTCCAGTGCTTTGCTCACAGCATGTCTATCAGATATAAGGCGTTTGTGAGTGGTCCAATCAACGAGGGAGGGTCTGGGGGTGTGGGGGAAGGCAATTTGCTGCTTGAATATTTGCTTCTCTGTGAGAACCTGTGTGCAATACTACCTAACTGTCACAAGCAGTAAAAGTTGTCGTGCAGTGTGGCTTGGAAGGGCAAACTGGAGCATACGAAAGGGTTGACCTAAGGGCGGCCTTTCTTATGGCCGGTAATTGTACACTGTGATAATCTGCTTCTCTCCCTCTTCCTCCCCACCTCTGTCTGTCTGTCTGTCTGTCTGTCTGTCTCTGTCCAGTGTTTGTGAGCCATGTTGTGATCACTGTTCAGAGAGGAGAAAGCGTTTGTTCGTGCAGGATCCTGCAACCTGCCGGTGCTCCTGCAAACACACAGACGAAAACTGTAAAGAACGCCAGCTAGAGCTCAATGAGAGGACCTGCAAGTAAGTGCTGTCAGTTTTACTGTGCATTCAGACCAAATGCGAATTTAATCATTGCGGGGGTTTTATCGCTGGACAACTGCCAAGTGTTCACACACAACGCGATAACGCAAATAAACACAACCCGTGATTACTACAGCGTACAAGTAAACATTTTGCTGTGATTTAATTGCAATTAACGGATCAAACTGATGCCAAAATAAAAACAATATGATGCAGATTTGTTAAACATATGAATTCATATTTTGTCAGGTCTGTCAGCAGGTCAGCAGGACAACAACTTCTAAAATGTTTGTTTTCTGAATGGAGTTTGGATCAATAAGGGCTGTGCTAACTTGTTCACAGTAAAGTTCAACAATGGAATAAAGTAACAGACATATTTTCTGAACTCACCAGGTAGTTCAACTTCCTCGCTTTCTTTTCTCCAAGCAATGTCCAATTTTGTCTGTTTTTATATAAATATGTAGTAGTAGTTCAACAGAGGTCTGGGTGCCCACCGACGCTGTTAGCATGGAACTGGAAATGCATGGAAGCTCGCTGCTGAGAAGCTCCAGTGAAGATAAATCAATGTTGTAATCCCAAAAACTCATGTAAAAGGTTAATTTAATAAAAGCAGTTTACTCCGAGCTCCTCCCACGATTTAACGGCGTGGTTGTCATAGCATAATCTAGTCCGACTACAGGTGTTTATTTGTCCAAAAGCTGCCGCGCTGCTCCCAGCTCTGTCCTCGACAGCTTCCCATAGATTAGCAGCTCTCCATCGGCCAGCGGCGTTTTACTCCTTCGCTCTGCCTGATACTCTCCAAACAATGCTCTGAAGTCGTCGGTGACGTCCGGACAATCTTAACATTGATAGGCTTTCGCGACTCAGTATCATGCGACTTTCTCGCTGAAGTTGACTTTGTCTGTAAATCTCTACAGTCTATTATCTACAGTAATAAAAGCAAAAATGTGGCCACGCAGCATAACTTTGCTCAACAGGACATGTTGTCAGGGATAGTGAATTTATCTGGGTTAACAATGGATCACATGACTTTTTGTATGTGATAGGGTTTGCTCATTGTGACAACCACAGAGAATAATCACCAGACTCTACAGTTCCCCTTAGCTCTATGAACATTTATAGCATCATTTAACACATTTTATTTGTCCCAAAACGTTAGAGACTAGCCGATGAACATAGTGGAACATTTAGCAGCTAAAGAATTAGATAAGAGTTGGTGGAGACCAAAAACAGAGCTAAAGTGAGAGTGAATAATGGACAAAGACAGCTCCAAATAAATACTAATGAACTGAAAACACTCCTGCCTACAGCTTGTTTTTCCTTTTTGCTGCAAAGTTTCTTCTTCTTTTAACTGTTTATTACTTCTTGTTTAGATGTGACAAGCCAAGAAGATGAGAGAGGTGGGAGCACCAGATGTACAAGATGAAGGAATATTCTAGAGATATTTCACAGCACAGCACTTTGACCTTTGAACCGTAAGCTCTTCTTTTTGATGGAAAGCATTCCCCTTGGACTGACTGAGAGAGAACAAAAAGGAAGACTGAACCGAAGTTTCCTCCCACTGTATATCTGTGTGTATATAGACCATGATAAAAGAAAAAAAGAGTACCCAATTGTTATGCTGCTACAGAAACAAATAACTAAACTCAGCATTTGACAAAAAGCAAATAGCCGCCATGTGGTTTCGCGTTTCTAACAGGCTTGTGATGCAGGTGTAGTCTTGTTGTGAATTCATTGTATGCAATTACTTCACTGGATATGAGTCTACTGTGGCTGTGTGTCAATCATAAATTGCAAAACCTCTCAATCTAAGATATATTAAACTGCTAAAAGAGCTGGTGAGGCTGAAGTGGACAGGAGCGCTCTCCTTACAAAAATGATGGATGGACTTTAATCTGTCAATGGAGGTACCAGCAGGACAACCAGGACACCTGACTGAAATCTTGAATCTGTCTCGCTTCCTTTCCCACGAGGAAATTGCAGGACTGATGTGGACAGGATAAAATGTTCACTACTGTGATCAGCTTGCAGGAGAAAAGACTCTGGAGTGCCATATATTTTTAAAGGGATACTGGTTATCAATATAGCATCTAATAATGTCCTATATGAAAACCACTGAAAACATCCTAAACTGTAGTTTGATTCCATTTGAAAAACTGTGCCTCGCAAAATGTACTGAGAAATCTTTGGAGTGCTTTTTAAATTATTTTTTCTTTCCTTTTTCAGGAGAGGGGATTGTTAAAGTAGTTTTGTTAGTTTTTAACTCAGAATCTACAGAATCCATGATCACATATCTTCTTCTCTGAACTTGTACATACTTAATATCCCTTTATCCCATAGTCCATTCTAGATAATTTATAATGTTATAGAGTATTTTTCAGTATTCAGTCTTCTACCCATATTTAATTTGGTCTATTTATATATGCAGTGTTATGTATCTGTAGCTGTCCTATACCCCCTATGTGTAAGGTCACTGATGGCTACTCTCCACAAGGAGACTCTCTGTGCTTTTCAACAATACAAAAAAAGAAAAAACAACAACAAAAAAAATCTAAAATGATTTGTTAACATTCCCTAAATGGATTATTTGTAGTGGTGTACTGATCTCCTCTGGATTATTCAACCCCTCTTGTCTAAGGGTTTGGGTGTTGTGTAAAACGTGGGTATCCGTGTGTTTGTGTACATGTGCGTGTATGAGTGTGTGGTCACGTGCATTTGTGCACACCTGTGTGTAGGTGTTAGTAAGTTGTATTTAAGTATTTAAATAAGTATCAGGCCTGTGTTTTGTCCGTCTTGCAAGATGCAAATACAAATAAACTACTGCTAGCAGCTCAGCATACACTACCATGACACCATCACCGTTTTAAATATGGATAACAATCTGCATCCTTTCTGCCAGCAGTCTTAGAGCCCTCATTAATAGTTCTCTTTGTCTCTTCTTCACCATTAACATGTTTTCTGTGTCTATGTAAAACAGTAAAGCATATTTATTTCAAATTATATTGTTTTTATATAAAATAAGGAAAAGGTTGCTGTGTTGTGAATGCTGTGTTTTCAAGAGATTTCATTAGGAAACATGAGCTTTCCATGTTCTTGTGCGGCAAGTTGATGCTCACACGTCTGCTAAGAATCTGGACGGAATGTAATCTGAGAGAAAGTAGAACAGAGAAATAAGAAATTCCTGCACGCATTTCATGACAGACGGACAGATATTCAGCCTTATGAATAAAATGGCACTTTGAAGCAGTGTGCAGTAATTTCATCTGTTAAATCTAACTGTAGGTAACCATTTAGAAGCAATGGAGGATACAACAACAGTTTCTAAGAAGTGTTGGCTGAAGGTAAAATGTTTCGATGTCAAAGGATTATGCAACAATAGCAAAATAATCTGTTAAGGTAAAGGGCTAACTAGCAGCTGTAGGTATTTATGGTAAGGTTTTGGTAATGGTTAACTAAGATGCATGAAAGAAACTTTAATAAGTTTTATATTTCTTCATTTCATTCAGTTATGGGCAGAAGCACCTTTGATCGGCCTCCCATTGGATTTTTAAAAAAAGTTATTTTTAGATATAAGCCTTAAGACCAAGTTGAAAACAGTTAACCTAAGAGATAGTTGGACTTGAGGAACAGCTTGGCGTGGTTAAAGTTAGGGTAAGAATTTGGGTAGGACCATCTCTGCCCATAATTGCATAAAAACACATAATTCTATCCGCATTGAATGCTCATTAACGTTATTTTAGCATCACAGTACATTACATTACTGAGATTTGCACTGTCCTAAAAAATGCAACCCCCACATTAAGTTCAATGAAACCACTGAGTCAGCACCTCCACTGCCCAGACGGCTCCAGCCCAAAAATACTTTTGCTACAGTAAAAAGGTTGAACTGGGTCAAGTTTTGCCACAACACAAAGCAACATCATCTATGAAAATATTGCATTCTAGTAGATTATAATGGTCAAGACGAAGGATAAAATGTATACTACAATAATAATACTGCACCGTGCTTTGGCATTTGATAAGCCATCAAACCATAGGTGTTACTAGACCCTTTTTACTGGGGTACGTGCCCCTGTATCCATGTGCTGTGCCCCAGTAAAATTGTCAAGGACGTGTAGAGCTTCGCGGTCAAGTTAGCAATAATATATATGCAACATCCGGTTACAATTTCAAAATATAATTACTGGTTGATGTGAAAAGGCACATTGTTAATGATATGAAACGTCACAAAAAATGAGAGCGACTTTCAGGAGCAGCAAACGTGTTCTCATCTCAGTGCGTCATTACGGACACTTTCAGACAGCGTGACAAAGCATAATTATTTGACACTAAAGGTACACTTCAGCGTCCATATGAAACGCCACAGTTTGTTACGTCGCACCAACACAAAGGAGGCTAACCTTGTGACATCTGTGGCATTGTGTTGTGTGATAGAACTGCACCTTTTCAAGTGGCCAATTATTGTGGCCAGCCTAAGGCACACAGGAGTGAGGGGGTCTGTGCCCCAGTAGAGCTTTATGTCTAGCAACGCACCACTTCCAGAATGAGAAGTCAGTCTCACCGCGTCGTAAATGGTGAGTCGTTTTGAAAGTGAACACTCAGCTAGACTAACTCGGCGCGAGGCAATATTTACTTTCATCAAGAAACAATGCATCTAGCCTCATTAGAATGGAATGAACATGGTGGTCCCAAGAAACATTACCTGGAACAAAGATGATGTTTCCAGTTTTGGCACGGGCTGCACCAACTGCCCTCACTAGACCTGTTTTTTTTTTTCCACAGTCCCACATTGTGGCCATGTTTGTATTGAAACTGGCTATCCCCATTGCTTGCTACTTCCCACTAGATTAGCTCCTCACGGCGTTAATGCTCTGCTCTGCCCTTTCTGATTCATGCTGTTTATGTGCATACCTAAATGTAAAGCATACCAAATAATCCCAGTAAACTGTGGGGCCCCCTTCACCGGGTAAAACACCCCAAAGAATGTTATAAACCATCTAATCTGTGATTTACCAGGATCTGAGAACCAAGCGAGCAAGCTAGCAGCCTGTCCAGTTTGTCAGCATGCAAGTCTGACGCCACCAAGAGGCTTTAAAACACAAAATCATTTTAATTAATTAATAGCTTTCACATCTTTAAAGGGGTTAGAGTGTTATAATGGAAAACTAAGAAGTATATTAAACCTTATTTTATGTAACATTTAAAACCTATTCTGACCCTTGAGAGTAAAGAGAAAATATTCACACATATCACACATCAAAAATTGCAGTGGCAAGCGTACCTTTTGTGTGTGACTGTCTTTCCTTTCAATTACAATTTAAAAGAGTCTTATCATTCCGAGAGTCCCATCTGGACGTTGGACAGTTTTTTTTCACTTTTGGTTGGTTATAAAGAGAACAGGGTTGAAAAACGTGATTGAAGGTTTAACAGAGTCTGTGTTCTTATCTGGCAAATGTTTAATTGAATATATTTTAATGTAATCTGCAGTCATATGCCACTATCATACTGTTGATGCAACTAACCCTTCTCTTAAGTCATTGCACAATCAGAGTGACTAACAAAACATAGTAATGCTGTTGATTTTGTCATCGAGTCATTGCATCATCATTTTTTCAGATTTACTCTGGAATTGAAAATTGAAACCTTTTTTAAAGAGGTGGTATTATGCTTTTTGGCTTTTTCCCTCTCCTTTATTGAGTTATATATCTTTTTTGTGTATGTAACAGGTTTGCAAAGTGAAAAAGCCCAAAGTCCAGCCCAAAGGGAGTTCCCATCTCCCACAGAAAGTAGTGATGGCAAGTTCGACTCTTGTGACAGACTCAATCCTTCTAAATCCAATCAGACTAAATCCTTCCATTGTCACTCCTGAGTATACAACCAGACCAGCCATATAAAGACTTATGTATATAATTACTATCATTATCTCTATACAAATAATGCATGGTGGTGCTGTGGTTAGCACTGTTGCCTCACTGCAAGAAGGTCGTGGGTTCAGAACCTGAAAACCTGTGGAGTTTGCGTGTTCTCTACAGGTGCTCCGGCTTCCTCCCACCATCCAAAGACATGTCTAGGTTGACCCTAAATTGTCCTTAGGTGTGAGTGGTTGTCTGTCTATATGTGGCCCTGCGATCTGTCCGATGTCAGCTGGAATTGGCTGGGGGGGATTGGCTCCAGCCCCCCGCTACCCTGTAAGCGGTAGACGATGGATCTCATTCATACAGTAGCCTAACATCCTGATCTGTGAGTAAAATATTAATAACTCTTATTAAATTTCAACCAATTTAATAATAATCTGGATCAAGCCACCAAATTCTTAAAAGAACTCCAGCACAGAGAGAGGAACAAAGATTACATTATATAAATGCAGCAGTCTGGCAGTTCTGGACACAGAATGGGCAACATCAGGTCCTGATTCTGCAGACAGAGAAACACACATGATCTCATCGCACTCAAACACTGCAGGTTGTGTCCCAATCAGCAGCTGTGAAACAACAGCACGGCTCTGTCGATAAATAAAAAGTAAAAGTTACGTTGCCCGGATCCAGACCCGGATCAGCTGTTAGCTGTAACACATCACAGGGCTAACGCTAACGTTGCTACGTGGCTGTGTTTTAGTGTTTTAATGTTTTAATGACCAGGTCTGTTTGTTTTGGAGAGGAGACGACCTCTGAGGTAATTTGGCTCCCTGCAGAACTCTGTCAGGGCTCTGAAGTGGACCCAGAACAACTCTCATCAGCCGTTAGCTGTAAACACTAGCAGGACTAAAGTTACGGTGCGGCTGTGTTAAAACTATAACTTAACGTCACTGCGCTGTAATAATGTTGTGCTTTATTAAATGTCTGTTGCCTATTAAATGACTGTTACCAGACAGCCGACCTGCCTCTCATTGTCCAGCGCTGGCAGTCACTCAGCCTGCCGAGTGAACGAAAGACTGAGGAGGGCGCATGTGAGCGGTGAACGAGTCGTTCATTCCTGCTCCACAGTAGCTGTCATGTGACAAATGAATGACTCAGACCTAGAGACCCACAGTTGAGAGTTGTGAACTAATCAGTAGTGTTTCCTGTGCTGCCTGCTTACCGCCCTGTAGTTGAGCTGTCCCGTGACAAATGAATGACTCAAACCTAGAGACCCACAGTTGAGAGACGTGAACTAATCAATTCTGTTTCCTGTGCTGATGGAGCCCATGCAGCTGCCGTGTGACGAGTTAACGTAAGATTCCAAGATCCTTCACGCATGCATGAAAATGAACGAATTACTCACTGAGACAACCCATTCCTCCCAAGTCATACACACGATTAGGTCTTATGCACGAAACATTTGCTTGAAAACAGCTCGTTTGTAGTCCAGCCCTTCACTTCCTTTACTTGTGACACCACAATGAAAATGCGTCATAAAGCTTGCCAAGTGGCTAGCGGGGTCAGCCACTCCCTCAAACCAAGCTAGTCTGAGCGGAAGCCCTTTGGCTTGACTCAGCTTTGTTTGATTTTCCATTGTAGAAATGTTGTACTTCCGTGAGGTTCCAAGTGAGCTGAGGGATACTAAATCTTAATGTGAAAACACGACAGACTGCTGATTGGTCAGAGAGAATATCCACTATTCACTGCATCGTCATTGCTGCACCAGACCGAGGCCAGCAACAGAAGTTTTATATTTTACAGTTTTCGTATGAAATTTCATCACTAAATCCACTTCTGAGAAGTTTTGAGGTGAGAAATCAGCTGTGTAGATTTCGAATATTGACAGTTTTACGAGAAGTCATGGCGGAACAAAAATGCTTGAATATTTTCGGAGTTGAGGAGCTCCGCAAGTGGCTGCAGGGGAAGTCTGTACCAACCCGCGGGAGGAGCGTGTGAGGCCGGCCAGCTGCCCACTCACACAGCCCTCTGCTCCCGCCGTCACACAGACCGCTGCAGCAACAACGGCAGAGGAAAACACAGCTGGAAGGTTTTCATACCGCTTATCTGTCTTTACATTCTGAAGAATGTTGAAATGTTTTAACTTTAAAAAGAGAAAGCTGTGTGGATCGCTGGTGTGTCGCATTGAACATTACGTTGCGGCAATTGTGTGTGGTGTCACTATGACGACAAGCTACATACTATCTCTGGGTACTGTCTGCAATGGAAAACGGAGCAGGGCCGAGTTGAGTCGAGTCTATCGATTTGCGCTGTGGTAGCATTTTTCAGCAAGGCAACAGTTCAACGTTTGTGCCTGGAAATTTACAATCACAATTTGTAAGTATGCTCTAT